CAAAAAAAAAAAAAAAAAAAGTTCAAAAGCTCCTCAAAATAAAAATCAAGGTGTTAAGTGGAACTGTGTATATATGATGTGAAATTTGTTGAAAGTTGAATGAAAACATATACCATCGCTGAAACCATTAGAAAGTAACTAAAAACAACGATTCTATTGTGCGTTATTCAGCTTATTTAGCGGCGTAAAATGGCGGAATGATTTTGCAGAAATATCTACAAATTTAATTTGACACGGATCTGAAAATAATTTATTTTGATGGCCTCCAATCAAATTTAATTTGAAATATTTTAGCAAAATTATCCCTTCTGTATAAATTTCCGAATTTTTCCTACAAAAAAATCACAACAGCATTATGATTTATTGAATTCTTCATTGTAACCAGCGGTAAAATTAATTGTAATCAGTGAAAGAGTAATTAGTATCTACAGAAAAATTTCGAATTAATATTTATAATTTATATAAAAGATTATACGGAAAGAATAATTTTGCTAAAGTATCTACAAATTTAGCTAGATATATATACAGATCTGAAAATAAAATTTTTTTAGAAAATAATTGCATACACTCGAGCTGGTCCTAGAATTTTAAAACTTTTAGTTGCATCAGACATCACGTTTGAATTTCCTACATAATTATTTTGATGTTTCGACAAAATTATTTTCGAATCTATATAACTAGCATTAGTACATACTTGAATAAAATCATTCTTTCCGTGGCTAGACGAAACCGTGGCAAGACTCACCAGTGATAGCGGACTGTTTCCTCGCGGCAGAAGGTAGTACAGGAGTGGTCGGCTCTATCGCGCACCTCTTCCTCTTGGTATCCGGATTGAGAAGTTGACTAGGCGTCGTAGCCTCGCCGATCTCAGGCACTCGGGGCTCTTGCGGTGGTGTCCTCTCGGCCGACGGTGCCGGCGTGACGAACGTCGTCTCCAGTTGCTCCATAATCCTCGTGCTCGTCACCGTGGTCGTGATCGCTGTCAACGACGTCGCCGCAGTTGTCGATACCGTCGTTGTCATCGACGATGCTGAGGTCGAGGACAACGCGGTGGTCGTTAAGGCGTCGTCGAAGCGCAATTTGCGCGGTGTCCCAGGCGCGTGTTTCCTGAGGAAGGGCATACCGCGCAGGGCGTAGGGCTCGGGCACGACGTCGTGCTTCGTGAGCGGTTCCCACTCGTAACGCGAGTTCGATTTAAGAGGTGCACCCTTCTGGAAGTTGAATCCCCATCGATTGGCATCGAGTTGCGACTGAGCCCGCAATTCGCGCTCGGCGAGCGCCTGAGCCGCCGCGTGGTCCACCGGACCGAAGAGATCGCGTCGCACGCGGGCGAGCGCGGCCCTGCTCGGCGCCGCTCGTCCGTTACCGCCGCCGCCGCCACCTCCGCTGCTCAGGTTCCTGCTTATTTCCGTCATCATCGCCGGGTTCAGCACTCGTGCGCTCATATTTCGTCGCGCTCTATCGTCGCCACTACGCGCTCCACTACGCTCTCGCTGCGCTTCCGACGAGTGTAGCACAAAGAGAAAAAACAAAATAAGTGTCCGAGCGCGAAAAATCAGGATTCGATCCGCAGGGAGATGAACGATAATACAACGCTAACGCACACACACGCTGCCTAGTACTCTCTATTCTTTCTTCGTCCTTGCTTTCTCACTTCTCACTCTCTTCTCACTGCACTTCCCTGTCGCCTGCGATGGGAGAGAACAGAGAAGTTGTAATACGCGCTTACGAGATAAGAGCTCGCGCTTCTTCTAGCATTGGCCGTGACGCAGGGATGACGATGACTCCTTCCAGGAACCGCGTCCGCGTCCGTGTCCCCGCCGCCTCCGCCTCCGCCGCCGCCGCCGTCGTCGTCGTGGGGAACGTTGAAATAATCGCGGCTACGCACCGCGGAGAACGGGAACGCTGGCAACGCCGCGATCCGTGGCGCGACCCACCGAATTTCGAATAATGGCCGCGCTGCCGCCGCCGCCGATGAACGTTGACCAGGGCACCGCTTCGGTTCCGACGTGATCGTATCTCGACGACGACGATGATGAC